CCGAAGGACTAATGGACCACAGCTACCAAGGCCTCCACCAGACTGAGTCCAGTACAGCCAGATGGTGCCCAGCTACCACCACTGACTGCTCTGATTGGGATCACAACAGAGTTTTCTGAACAGAGCTGGAGAAGGATGTAGAGCAAAATTCTAACACACACAAAAAAGACCAGATATACTGGCCTAAAGGAGACTGGAGAAACCCCGAGAGTATGGTCCCCAGACACCCTTTTAGCTCAGTGAAGTCAGTTCTGAGCTTCATGGTTCAGCCAGGGATTGGACAGCCCCATAAAACCAAATGGGACTAATGAGGTACAGCAGTCCAGGGTCAAGGGCTGGAAGGCAGAAAGGGACAAGAAAGCTGGTGATAGGGAACCCAAGGTTGGGTAAGGACAGTGTTGATGTCTTGTGAGGTTGTTATCTATTGTCATAGGGCAACATGTGTACTAACCGTTTAATGAGAAACTATTTTATTCTGTAAACCTTCCTCTAACAAAGAATAGCAGCACAACTGGAAGCGTGTAGTCGATGTCACTGAACTGTGCATGTAGAAATTTTTGGAAATGGTATCTTTGGCTGTGTATATTTTCACCAAAAAAAAAGGTCAAGAAGGAAGAGGGTTGACATGTTGTGGGGTTGTTAACCAATGTCATAAAACAATATGTGTACTACTGTTTAATGAGAAACTATTTTTTCTGTAAACCTCCACCTGACGTACAATAAAATAAATAAATACATAAAAAATTATCATAAAACTGCAGCTATTCAATCACATCTTCACGTTCTACTTTTAATTTTAGTTCTCTTGCTATTTCTACCAGATCTTCAGTTACCTCCTCCAGTGATGTCTTGAACTCCTCCAAGTCATCCATGAGGGTTGGAATCAATTTCTTCCGAACTCCTGTTAATGTTGATAGTTGACCTCCCCCTTCATGAGTCATGAATGTTCTTAATGGCATCTAGAATGGTGAATCCTTTCCAGAAGGTTTTCAATTTTCTTTGCACAGATCCATAAGAGGAATCACTATCTATGGCAGTTATAGCCTTATGAAATGTATTTCTTAAAAAATAAGACCTGAAATTCAAAATTACTCCTTGGTCCATGGGCTGCAGAATGGATATTGTGATAGCAGGCAGGAAAACAACATTAATCACCTCATACATCTCCATCAGAGCTCTTGGGTGACCAGGTGCGTTGTCAATGAGCAGTAATACTTTGAAAGGAATCTTTTTTTCTGAGCAGTATGTCTCAACAATGGGCTTCTAATAATCAGTAAACCACATTGTAAACAGATGTGCTATCATCTAGGCTTTGTTGTTCCATTTATAGAGCACAGGCAGAATAGATTTAGCGTAATTCTTAAGAGCCCTAGGATTTTTGGAATGGTAAATGAGCATTGGATTCAATTTAAGTCACCAGCTGCATTACCCTCTAAAAAGAGTCAGTCTGTCCTTTGAAACCATAGACTTCTTCTCTCTAGCTGTGAAAGCCCTAGATAGAATCTTCTTCCAATATAAGGTCGTTTCATCTGCATTGAAAATCTGTTGTTTAGTGTAGCCACCTTCATCAATTATCTTAGCTGGATCTTCTGGATAACTTGCTGCAGCTCCTACATCAACACTTGCTGCTTTACTTTGCATTTTCATGTTATGGAGATGGCTTCTTTCCTTAAATCTCTCTGCTAGCTTCAAACTTTTTTTTTTTTTTGCAGCTTCCTCACCTCTCTCAGCCTTCATAAAATTGAAGAGATTTAGGGCCTTGCTGTGGATTACACTTTGGTTTAAGGGAATACTGTGACTGGTTTGATCTTCTATCTAGACCACTAAAAGTTTCTCCATTTCAAAAAGGGAGGGTGAAGAAAACCAGAGACACAAGGTAAAGATTAGTCCAAATGACCAATGGACCACAAGTACTACAGCCTCCACCAGACTGAATCCAGCACAAGTAGATGGTGCTCAGCTACAACCACTGACTGCTCTGACAGGGATCACCATACAGGGTCCCAAACAGAGCTGGAGAAAAATGTAGCACAAAATTCTAACTTACAAAAAAAAAAAAATGACCAGACTTACTAGCCTGACAGAGACTGAAGAACCCCTGAGAGTATGGCCCCCAGACACCCTTTTAGCTCAGTAATGAAGTCACTCCTGAAGTTCACCCTTCAGCCAAAGATTAGACAGGCCCATAAAACAAAATGAGGTTAAATGGGCACACCAGCCCAGGGGCAAGGATGAGAAAGCAGGAGAGGACAGAAAAGCTGGTAATAGGGGACCCAAGGTCGAGAAGGGAAGAGCGTTGACATGTCGTGGGGTCGGCAACCAATGTCACAAAACAATATGTGTACTAATTGTTTAATGAGAAGCTAGTTTGTTCTGTAAACTTTCATCTAAAGTACAAAAAATTCTCTCCATTTCAACAATAAGGCTGTTAGCCTTTCTTAGCATTCTTGCGTTCACTGGAATAGCACTTTTAATTTCCTTCAAGATCTTTTCCTTTGCATTCACAACTTAGCTAACTGTTAGAACAAGAGGTCTAGCTTTCAGCCTATTTCGGCTTTCAAAATGCCTTCCTCACTAAGCTTAATCATTTCTAGCTTTTGATTTAACGTGACAGACGTGATATTTCCTTTCATTCAAACATTTACAGGCCATCATAGGGCCATTAGTTGGCCTAATTTCAATATTTTCATGTCTCAGGGAACATGGAGACAAGAAGAGAGGGAGAGAGATGGAGAAACGGCTGGTTGGTGGAGCAGTCAGAACACACACAACGTATATCGATTAAGTTCTTTGTCTTATGTGGGCACAATTTGTGGTGCCCCAAAACAATTACAATACTAATATCAAAGATTACTAATCACAGATCATCATAACAGCTATAATAAAAATAATAAAGTTTTAAATATTGTGAGAATTACTAACATGTGACACAAAGACACAAAATGAGCACATGCTGTTGGAAAATTATCACTGATAGATTTGCTCAATGCAGCATTGCCACAAACCTTCAATTTGTAAAAACCACAATATCTGCAAAAACACAATAAAGCAAAGCACAATAAAACAAGGTATGCCTGTACTGCACTAGGCAAATATGCTGCAAAAGTCCTCTTTAAAGTGTTAAAAAGCAAGGATGTCACTTTGGGACTAAGGAGCACCTGACCCAAGCCACGGTATTTTCAATTGCCTCATGTGCATGGGAAACATGGACAATGAATAAGCAAAACTTAAGAAGAATTGACGTCTTTGAATTACGGTGTTGGCAAAGAATATAGAATACACTATGGACTGTGAGAAGAATGAATAAATCTGCCTTGGAAGAAGTATAACCAGAATGCTCATTAGAAGCAAGGATGGTGAGACTTAGTCTCACATATTTTGAACATGTTAGCAGGAGGGATCAGTCCCTGAAGAAGGACATCATGCTTGGTAAAGCAAATGTCATTGTAAAAGAGGAAAACCCTCAAGATGATGATCGGTACAGTGGCTGTGACAATGGTCTCAGACATAGCAACCATTGTAAGGATGGTGTAGGACCGGGTAGTGTTTCATTCTGTTGTACACAGGGTCTCTGTGAATTGGAACTGACTCGAAAGCACCTAACAACAACAACAAAATAATTTAGGGAGCCAACTAAAACTGGAAGGAGACTTGGAGAATTGAAAGAGGTCAAGATGCATACAAAGAATGTTTGTAGTTAGAGTGAGGGAATGGGAAAAATGGAATGTGACCACATTTTGCTCATAAAGGATAAACTTAGGGTTTGATTTCCTAGAGATGGAGAGTTTATGTCATGATTAGTTCCAACAGGTGGATCGGATAAACTGAGAGCAGAAGATTTAACTCAACTGCACTTACTGAGAATCTGATATGCAAGAAGTGATATATTATGCACACATTGTTGATGAGTCATAACAGTCATACCACAAGCTTTATCTTGTAAAAGCACAAGAAGAATGCTATATTTAAATCTGTAATTAAATATATTATTTTTTTTTAAATAAACTTGGTAAAGAAAATCATATCATGTTATACTAGCCAAATTTGGTCTTTTATATTACAGAGTTTTCAGCCATCAATTATACACGTAAAAACTGTGAAACAATGGTATTTGTTTCTTCTGAAGCATACACACACAATCTATACATCTCTCATTGAAGGAAATGTTAACTGCGCCAACACAAAGTTACACCTGAAATTTCAAAGAAGGAATTTCTTTATCTAATCAGAAAATATCTTCTCTTTCTGATGAATAAAATTATTTTAAAAATTTTATATCATCCTTCCCAATTTTATAATAACTGCAAATGAGAGAGGATATCAGTGATTTCTAAACTGCTTTAAAGTATGAACTGTTACCTAAGAAAACTGGCTTTTAATTAATTATTTCAAATTTCTGAATTCAAATTCACAAATGGAATATTATCTCTTTTCAATTTTTACATAATTCTTTTATTAAACAAAGGACATTGATTTAATTTATATTTTGACTTATCTACAACGCAAGCATCAAAGCTTTGTACTACAGAATTATACACCATACAATGTAGGGTAGGAAAACCCAGTGAAGTTCCCTTGATTTCTGCATCTTTACCATTAAAAAAAAGATACCAGTACTGAAGAAAATGTTAGAAAGTTTATGTTATATTGTGTTCTACTTGACAAAGAAGCTATTTCAAGAAATGAGAATAATAAAAGTTATTCCTAAACTTTGAAAGATCTATTGTAATGAATTGAACTAGTTCAGTTTCTGATTGCTTGCCAGCAGTATAGCTGTCTCCAACATACTCCTGTATTGATCTGGTAGCCTTTGTGGCGGTGCATAAAGAATAACCATCTGTGTCAGGTACAACAGCAGGTGCCATCTCCATTGAACTAGTTGCTGCCCTGATTACAATGAGACTGTTTAGAGCACCTGGTGAACACAAAGGCTTTTTCATCTCTGTGGGGAAAAAAAGGTCATTTGTAAAAGTTTACTGAAGAGAAACGGAGAAACTCACCAGTAATCATCAGCTGACAAGGTGCTGTAATAGACTCCAGTGAAGACAAACTAAGAGATCTAGCGATGGAAAGACTCTGGCTTGCAGGAGACTCCCAATGTGGCACACTAGTCTGAAGTTCCCATTTAGACCATTGTGAAGAAGTCCTGACCTCTTCTCTTAAATCATATGTTAAGGTCTCATAATCTGTATAATATGGCCAATCTGGCATAATTACAGATTTAGTGAAAGACGTCTGTATTGGAAGTGATTGAGTTGGTGAAACTGTATAAAATCCAACATTAGAAGTTACTTCTGGAACATCAGACATCGAGTCTATATATGGTGGCAGGTTGTATTTGAGATCACTTGGATGTATGGTTTCTAAATTTATGTTTACAGTAAAATCTGGATGGCTTTGTGAGTTTAATTCAAAGCCTAGAGATTTATCAGTTGTGTAAAGTTCGAATGGCTTATGAAATCCCTTACTCTCTTGCATGCCCAATAAAGTGTCTTCATTCAGTAATTCAGTGGGTCCCACAGTTACACTATATTGTCCTATTTTTAGTAGTTTTAAAACGTTTTCTGATATTGAAGAATCACCAGTAGTCAGTTTTGAAGTCAAATCAGAATGCATCAGGTCTGAGAAGACAGTTTGTGAAGGGACAATGGATAAACACGTCTTATTCAAACATAACTTAACATCCAAATTACTTGAAAAGGTAATGGATTCTTCCAAGGATGAGGGTAAAATTGTTCTTTCTGTGCTCATTTTAGAAGGAAATAAAGATGACAGTTCTGTGAATGCCACTGATGGTGTTATTTCAGTAGCAAAAGAAAATGAATGCCCAGAAGTGATCGTTTGAGTTCCCATTAGTGCATACCAGCTGGCTAATATTGCTGAATTCATCCAGAATGTCTCATAAAAGTGGGACTGCTTGCTATGCAAAACTTGGTCTGAGAATTCATGAGAGGATTTTGTTTCAGTCATAGAACATGTTGCACATGTTTGGCTTAATTCACTTAAAGAATCAGCAGACTGTGATTTGATGTTTGTGAGTCTCCGGTTGCTAGATGCTTCAGTAATAATCTGATATTCACTGGGAATGGAGGCTTGTGTACTGAATTGGTACAGAGCTGATGAGTTTAAGATGGCTACCTGTTTGGATATAATTATCTTAGCAGGAGAAATGGGAGACATCGAGGAGCTCAGCAATCTCCAGTGCTCTCTTCTTGAAATTAAGGAAACAGCTGAATATTCTTCAAGAACTTCTTGAGGCCCCCTAGAGACGATTGGAGATGCACTTGTGGAAGAAGTTGTGAGCAGGAATCCATGGGAGAATAATGAGTGCCTGTTTAACTTAATATCAGCCCCTGGAATGTCACTAATTACTGAACTCATTGTGGTAGCTGATAAGACAACAGTGTGATGTTTCTCAAATAACAAAGACTGTGTATGGAAACTAAAATCTGTCCTTAAGGAAGAGGTGATGAATGGAGTCGTCTCTATTCTATCAGGAAAAAGTAATGCTGCAGTGCCTGCTAAAGTTTGGGTGGGCATATGTGATCCAAATGTTGTGTCCAAGACAAACTGTGCTGGGGCAGGAACACCAAAATCCAGATACAGAGAAAAGGAGGCATATGTGGAAGAAGGATCACTGTGTTTTGCTGAAAGCTCTCTAGTGGAAATCAGTTCTTCGAGTAAATAGCTTTCAAAGGATAAGCCAGCACTCGATGCTGCCAAACTAGTGGCTGGGAGAACATTATGCTTGAAAATGTCTGTCTTTTCTGAACCTTCAGAGAGAAAAGGGCAGAAAAGAATGAGAAAGATGAATTAAAAATGAACAACCTGGCCCTGGGCTGAATCTTCAGCAAATTACAATGCCAATTCACACTCATTATATACAGACAAATATGGCTCTGTAAATCATATTTCTAATAAAAATGCATAAGAAAGTTTAGTAACTTTGCAAACTGCATAAATGCAAAGACTCCTATTATTCATGCTCCATAAGAGGGCCATTACACAGAACAGACATATTCCAAGCCAAATGATTCCTTTGAATTAGTTTTAAAAATTGCACAAAATACTATGAATTGTTGATAGACTCAATGAATATTTGATCTACTAGGTTAGAAATGTTAACAACATCATTTTAGTTTCTAAATCGACAAATTGTTCTTCTTATTTATATTAGATAGTGTCATATTTCAACTTAATTCTTTAAAAGAACAGAGATCGTGTAGAAGAAATTCGAGCAGTCTACATTCCTGCTTAGAATACCCATTGCCCTTCAAAAATACTTCTTCTTAAACAAGTAATACCTTGGTAAGTGTTATAACTCTCACTCTGGTAATTCTGAATGACATTGACTGTATGAAGAGAGAACCTGGATTTTAAAATACAATATACTATTTACAATATGACATCATTTAATTAAGTCAACTAATATGGCATATTAAAACAGACTCAAGTCAAAATACTTTAGTATAGGAAAACAAACACTTATTTTACATCTGAGTAACTGTTTTTCAAATAAAATGACAGCAATATAAATTTATATACTATGACTCAGAAAACATTAAATGAAGACATAATGAGGCAAGTAGTATTAGGTCTCTTTAAGTACTACTGATAATTTAAACAAAGTGAGCTGGGTTTGTGGTCTATTTATCTATCAAAATTTACATAACAGAATATAGCCTGATAATGATTTTTTTTATTTTCTCCACTGATCCAGAAAGTGTATTTATTAGCAAAGGACACTGATATTCTCAAAACAAAATTTACCAAAGGTCACACAACCAAAGAATTCTCAGATAATCTTATACTCCTAAAAAAACCGTGTATCTTAGAAAAATAAAGATTGAGATCATGCATAAAATGCAATATACACAACTTTTCTAAACTCAAACTTCTCCATATCTTACTATCACTTACTCACCTTGATCAACTGGATAAGTATTCACTAGAGTCCATAGTCTTGTGGCCCTTGCAGATTCAAGGATACTGACTGTAGTCTCAGAAGGAGGTGCTGTATATGTTTCTGTAGAAATTCCTTCTCTTTGAGAGATGGGAAGTACACAGGTAACTCTGTTTATTTCATCACCACAAAGAAGCCCAATGGAGCAGGTCTCCATAAGACAATCACTGTAATTAAGCTCACAGCTTCTTTGTCCCTGAGAGAGAATTTTGAAAGTCACCTTTGAGGATTATTTGCATTTTCATAGTCACATTACATAGCTCAAATCACAACCTTATTTTGTTGGAAAATAAAATCTCTTTATAGTAAGCTTTGCAAACATTTCAAAATTAATCCAATCCTTCATATTTTGGATAAGCTCAATTGAGTACTACATTTATTTTAATGACTTTAATTTTAAGTCAAATTACCACTTTGCCTTTGCTTTCAGGATATATTCTCCAGTTAAGAATTGTACTGTATGGCAGTCAATATGGATCTAAAAGCTATGTTATAAATTATCAACTTTTCTGCTTTAAATGTCATATTTGTTGGAAGCTAATATAAAATGCAGTATCTACAACAGATAATTTGAAAACAATTTCTTGTGATGTTCTAATTATTATAATCTGTATTGCCTTACAGAAGCCGTATTCCTTACATGTTTTAATTTAATGTGAATAGACTATTTCTGCCACATCCTCATGCAGTACCTTCTATATAAAGAAACTGATTTCAGCTCATAGGAATTGTGATGTACATATAAGTAAGTGCAAATAGACCTTATTTTAAACGTCTTTTAAATATAGAATTAAAATATCATTTATGGTAAATAAAGCACTTTGAACTTTAATGTAATACAATTTAAATATGATTTTAAAAATATCAATACATGCCCATTTTCTAACACTAAAGATATACCCGGAGGCCTGGTGGTACAGTGGTTAAGAATTTGGCTGCTAACTAGAAGGTTAGCAGTTCAAATCCACCAGCAGCTCCTTGGAAACCCTATGGGGCAATTTTACTCTGGCCTATAGGGTCGCTATGAGTTGCAATCAACTCGATGGCAACAGGTTAAAGACATAGTCAATAGGTATTCCTGCTTCCCACTTCAATGTTTGTCTAAGATTGTGTCTAATTTGCACATAATTTAAGTCCTGGTTTATATGTCTCAGTTCTAAATTCTTTACTCATTTTCAAGTCAAATCTGAAAATTTTTATAGAAGCCAGGGGATATTTGATGCTAAATAATTGCTTTAAAAATCTAGCATGCAGAAAATGGTAAAAATGAAGCTTAAAGTCACAGAGAAACAATAAGGGAAAAAAATAAAATAAAACATGGAATATGATTCCACACTGCAAAGACCAAGAAGTTAGTCCTTTTCTGCACTGAAGGGTAAGCAAGCCCTGCAGAGACTTCACAGATTAATGAGAATACACATGAGAGAGTTAGAGACCAGAATGCCAATATACTAGGTTACTGTGAAAAATACAGGTGTTATATAGCTTATAAATACTTTCACAGTCCTGGTCAGCATTTTCCCCCAAATCACAACAAGAAGTCATTATTATCTATGAGAAATAACCACCACAGGGACAAGGAACCCCCAAAGGCCCCATGATCAGCAAGTTCTCTCCATGTCAGCACACCTACACAAGAATCACAGGCTTTCTTGAGGTGAATTAGATCAAAAACATGTAGAATTAGGTGATTTGAATGATTAATGACAGCAGGCTGAGATATTACCATATGAATGTTTTTATTAATAGATCTGGAATATTTGGTGTTCATTGGCGAAACCTCTGTATCCTTAGACAATGTTGCATTGGCACTGACATTTGTTTTTATGATTCTGTTATGTTCTCTAATACCAAAACCAAATTCACTGCCCTCCAGTTGATTCCAACTCATAGCGACCATATACGACAGAGTGGAACTGCCCAACAGAGTTTGCAAGGCTGTAAAAATCTACCTAAGCAGACTGCCACATCTGTCTCTCAGGAGTGGCTGGTGGGTTCAAATCGCTGGCCTTTCAGTTAGCAGCCAAGCACTTAATCACTGTGCCACCAGGGCTTCTGTTATTTAATAGTGTGGCCTATTTTGTCTTCCGGTATGTAAATAAATTTATTCACCCAGCAGCCAGGAATCCAGATTTTGGCTTTCCTGTGATGCATGTCTAAGTTCACACCATCATATGATGTTCTTAGAGTTTAAATCTCAAAGAAAAATTTGTTTTCCCAATTTCCAGCTTGCTTGGGGACATCTCAATGTATTCCCTGATTATCAGTAACTTGAATCATATGCACTTTTTTCACTAAATTTTCCTTCAATTCTATTTTATTTTTATATATCCTAATATATACCAGCATAGAAGTTCTATGTTGTTGTTAGGTGCCATCAAGTTGGTTCCGACTCTTAGCAACCCTCTGTACAACAGAACAAAACACTGCCAGGTCTTGCTTCATCCTCATAATCATTGTTATGCTTGAGCCTATTGTTGCAGCCACTGTGTCAATCCGTCTCATCAAGGGTCTTCCTCTTTTTCACTGACCTTCTACTTTACCAAGCATGATGTCCTTCTCCAGGGACTGGTCCCTCCTGATAACCTGTGAGACAAAGTCTTGCCATCTTGATTCTAAGGAGCATTCTGGCTGTACTTCTTCCAAGATAGATTTGTTCATTCTTCTGGCAGTCCATGGTATATTCAATATTCTTCACCAACACCAATTCAAAGGCATCAATTCTTCTTCCGTCTTCCTTATTCATTGCCTAGATTTCGCACGTATATGAGGCTATTGAAAACACCATGACTTCAGTCAGGCACACCTTAGTCCTTAAAGTGACAACTTTGCTTTTTAACACTTTAAAGAGTTCTTTTGCAGCAGATTTGCCCAGTGCAATGGGTCCTTTGATTTCTTGACTTCTGCTTCCATGGGTGTTGATTGTGGATCCAAGTAAAATGAAATCTGTGACAATTTCAATATTTTCTTCATTTATTATGATGTTGCTTATTGGTCCAGTTGTGAGGAGCTTTGTTTTCTTTATGTTTAGGTGTTATCCATCAGTCTTCGACCTTCATCAGTAAGTGCTTCAAGTCCTCTTCACTTTCAGCAAGCAAGGTTGTGTCATCTGCATAAGACAGGTTGTTAATGATTCTTCCTCCAATCCTGATGCCTCATTCTTTTTCATATAGTCCAGCTTCTCCGATTATTTGCCCAGCATACAAATAGAATAGGTACGGTGAAATGATACAACCCTGATGCACACTTTTCCTGAATTTAAACCATGCAGTATCCCCTTGTTCTGTTCAAATGACTGACTGACTCTTGGTCCATGTACAGGTTCTTCATGAGCACAATTAAGTGTTCTGAACTCCCATTCTTCTCAATGTTATCCATAATTTGTTATGATCAAATGCCTTTGCATAGACAATAAAACCTAGATAAATATCTTTCTGGTATTGTCTACTTTCAGCTGAGATCTGACATCAGCAATGATATCCCTCATTCCATGTCCTTTTCTGAATCTATCTTGAATTTCTGGCTGTCCCCTGTCGATGTACGGCTGCAACCACTTTTGAATCATCTTCAGCAAAATTTTACTTCTGTGTGATATTAATGATATTGTTTGATAATTTCCACATTCTGTTGGATCACCTTTCTTTGGAATAGACATATATATGGATTTAATATGCATAAATATGGATCTATATTTTCCTTAATTAAATCCCAGACTGTCAGGTCAATGTTTACTAAACCTATTTCCTCTTTGTCTTAGACCACATGTCTCAGTCATCCTTGTGGTTATGTATGACTTAGTTCTAACCCATGAAATATGAATGGTCATAAAGTATGCCATTTTCAGATTGGGAAATAAAAATCTGCTATGTGTGATCCTCCAGACACTTCCCCTAGCTAGTGACCCCTGAACACACATGTTGAATATATTGGAGTCACAAGATGAAAGGAGCCTGTGTCCCTAAATCTCTAAATTAAGGAGAATAGCTAAAATTATTTGTACTTTATGTGATGAGAAATAAATTTGTATTGTATTAATCTAGTAACATTTTGGATGTTATTATTATAGCAGCTAGCACTGCCCTAACTAATACACAGAACTTTGCTTCACCTGGTCTTCCTGATGATATTATTTGCTACCTTCAAGAAAATGAAAACAAACCAAAATACCTCAAAAATGGTTGGACATATCTTTCCCGTAATTGCTTGATTATGTGTGAAGGATATAGATATTACAAACATTAAAAATTGCTTTAACTCAGTAAACCTTTAATTTTGTATTTTTCTTCTTAATTTTATAGTTACCATAATTTAATTATTTTGTCAATATATTTTTATTAATGCTTTCATTCATTTACCAAACATATATTGAGTGTCTACCATGGATAGCATAATGAGTTATCAACTGATATTCATTGAGCACTTAACACGTGCCAAGATGATAGTCATTTCTAAAAAACTTCATGACTATTTTTTTCAATTTACTTTTCTGTCTGAATCTATATCTAAGGAAAAAAAACTGTTAAAATGTTCTTTTGAATCACTGCTTTATGAGAATATTACCATCCATTTCCCCACAAACAATGTGCTCCCCATTATGTCTTTATTCAACAAATATTTATTAATCAATTTCAAAGTACAAAGGACTGTTGTACGGTGTTGAGAATGCACTGGTCAGCAAGAGAAACAAAGCGTCACCCATGTGTCTACTGTTTTAGTAAATGAATCAGAGTAAATAATAAATAAAAAAAACAAAAAACATAAATGAAATAAAACTAGTTAGTGTTATATGATTTACAGACAAAATATTGCAAGATAAGTAATAAGAAAAAACAGGGAGGTGTTTACAACACAGTGGATTATTATTTTTCATTCAATTGGCAATGACATTTGAAGATCTTATGGTATGCCTCATCTTTATTTTCTACTTGAAATAATGAGTATATAATGTAACAACAACGACAAATTTCAGGGGTCACAATCAGTTCTGTGATTTAATCTATTTTTCCCATACATAGTGGGCAAAATTTATTCTGTAAAGTTTATTATATTCAAATTACATAATATAATAATTAAAACAATTAACAACTTGAATTTTTCTAACTCCCCTGCAATGGTTAAGGTTATGTGTCAACTTGGCTAGGCCATGATTCT